CGGCTCAAGTTTGAAAACTTGCAGTTGCAACCCCCGACAATGGAAACCCTGAGTGCCTCCGAGGTTGAAAAGTTGCGTCTAGACATTGCAACCTCGCAAAAAAATGCAACATCGACATTGAAAAACTTGAAGTTGTGACTCGAGTTTGAAAAACTTGCAGTTGCGACTCGAGTTTGAAAACTTACAGTTGCGGCTCAAGTTTGAAAACTTGCAGTTGCGCCTCGAGGTTGAAAACCTTGCAGTTGTGTCTCGAGATTGAAAAACATTTCAAAATCAGCCCGGACATTGAAAACCTTGTACTTGCCCCTCAAGTTTGAAAACTTGAAGTTGTGTCTCGAGGTTGAAAAACCTTGCAAATGCGTCTCGAGGTTGAAAAAGAAATACAAGGTCACCCAATAAAATACATTGAAAACATTAAAAAGAAATATGGATAAAAAAGAAGATGGATTTCACACGGGGCATCGCATTTGCAAAAAAAAAGAGTTGGAACCCACACATGGTAGCATTTAGTAGATAGATAGAAAGGAACATAGAAGTCTAGATCTCTAATACTACTTAGGAGCTGGTCCGATTGACACATAAAAAAGCGCAAAAATAAAAAGTTCCTAACGAGGGCTGATGGTTCCTGAACACTGCGCTGCTGAACTTGCTGTCTTTTGGCATCCCTTCCTTCATTATGTTGTTGTTCTCAGGTTGTGCACAACACATGTTATGTTTACGCCCCCTTGGTTGCTGGGTTTGAAATTGAAAACAACTCCGTCTCCTTCTTGAAGGTTGTTCTGGGTTGCAAAGACACCCCATTGCTTGCTGAAAACCATGCGCCCACCACGATCTTGGCGGTATCCAACATTCATGTATTCTTCAGCTTCAAAACAAATTCCAACAACACCTTCTGGTAGCAAGTTCAACCCTTCAATCACCTTCCTTGGAATTTTCTACATAAAAAAAGAAGATAAACATCAGACAATAAAAACATATATAGGACAAAAAAATGAGCGAACAAAAAAAATCAGATTGAAAAAGCACATTTACCATCTGCTTGCTTGCAACGTTCGTGGTTGTGAGACGGTGCACGAAAGGACATCCAATGTACCCATCATTGTTGGTAAGAACCAAATCCAACTTTGATACTTCATCATAACTTAGAACAATGCCCTTTGTGAAAACAACTAGTGGAGTAGCTACTTCCTCATGTACATCATTTAGGGCCTCATCATCAGACCCAATGTTGATCCCACCTGCAGCAGCGCCCTGGTCTCCCGCATCCTCATCAACAATCGTGTGCTCAGCTGGGCCCCCGTCATTTGCAACACACATGCAACCAACATAGCATACATATGCCTTGGCCATGCGCCGAGATGTGTCAAAAACCACTAACTCACCACCGCCAAGATGGTAGTCCGAGACAAACTTTACCCAGTCATCGCCGCCCATCACGGTGGTCTCAGACACGCTGAGCACATCCAACGAATACCTTCGCCCGTGAGCTCTGAAACTGAAGAATCCTCCAGCTATGTGGCTCAGACTGTCCCTTACAGTGCATGGTATGATCTTCAAAAAAAAAAAGAAAAACAGGACAAACAGGGTTGAAAAGAATTGTTAGGAAAAAACTGCGGAGTGAAAAACACAAATAGAGACATTCAAAAAGATCATCACGATGAAAAAGTACAAAAAAACACTGCAAATTCCTTGGCGCCATTGTTGACAAAATTTCCCCATCTTTCTACAGTGTTGTTGCCACAGTATGAGTGGCAGACCGCGCAAACCATCCTGACCATATAAAAAAATTAAGAACAAAAACATCTTATCAAAAAATACTTTTGAGTATAATAGGTATATAGAAAACATTCACGCACATGATTAATAAACACACACATGAATTTGATGCTGTATAAAAAATGCCTTCTAAACTACATAAATCAGTATGAAAAAATTCAGTATGAAAAACTATACAAAAAAAATTCAGTATGAAAAACCAAACAAAAAGCATCGATAGTTTGATACTGCTGAAAGATCATGTCAGTATATGAAAAACCAAGCAAAGGTAAAAAAATGGTGTCAGTACAGAAAAGTGAAAAATTATTCAACTCATACTTCTACAAAAATGTCTACACAGTGCTAGAGACGGTACCCACTGTCACTTATTGTCAACTTTCAGTTTAAACCTATCAACAGTTTCAGTTAACTGTCTACTGTCCGCTGGTGAAATTCAGAACATTTTAAATGTGATTTTGAAAATCAAAATCCAAAAAGCAAAAAGAAAAGAAGTGCTAGGTTAACTTCTTTTAACGTGATTTTAACTCAACTTCCAAGGAAAAATGTGAGTTTCATTGATTTTAACACACCACAAATATACAGACCTTCAGACCTTACTGCATTCATCTAACAGTATAAACTACTAGGCCAACACTAAGAAATGACCTTCAGACTAAAAAAAATCATCTACCGATATGTATCACAGAACAAAACATATCTGCTTCTACATATATAGACATTCAGATAGATCAAAAAATTAGGACACAGATGTAGAATACTCAAAAAATAAAAAGGACAACATACTAACTGAAAAAACCAGATCCACCTACAATCATATAGAAAAACAGGAAAACCATGTAATCAAAACATGAATCTACTGCCTATCTAAGACACAAAAACCTAGTCAGAAACCATGTGTCAACACCCTAAAAATCTCATCCGCCCACCCATCTAAAAAAGAAACAAAAACAAACACCTACATGAATACCTAACAACCTCCCCATTCTATTCATTACATCTGCACTAACCCCTAGATCTACAACAAATGTATCAACCCCCTAATCTCATCCGCCCACCTATCTAAAAGAGAAAACAAAAAACAAAATCTACATCTAACCCTAACAAACCTCCCCATTCTATTCATTACATCTGCACTAACCCTAGAACTACAAACAAGAACATAAAAACAGTGGGGGAAGGAAAAACGTGGGAAGAATGCGTTACTTGAACAAAACGGGGATCTCCTCTCCACTTTCAGCTCTCCCCTTCTGTATCCCGATTCGAAGATGAACAGAGCGCTCTGGGGAAGGGAGTCAGAAGACGAACAGAGGAGCTGGGGGGAATGGAGTCAAGTCAGAATCAGGACGCTTCGGTCTCTTAAATAAAAGAGGAGAGGGGGGAGTGCAACGGGCGGGGGAGTGAAGAAAAAAAAGACAAGAAAAGCCCAACACGATACGGGCCGCGATAACCAGGAGACAACCTGTCCAGCCGCAACAAAGCACGAATCGCTACGCAAAAAAATCCGACGGTTCACAAAGTGAATGAGACCAAACTTGAAACTCAGTCCAACCATTTGCTACAGCACAGAAGTGCACACGCGACGCAGTCCATGTAAAACATACAGATGGGATGACGATGGATGTACGAGATGTACATGCATGGATCAGCACGAGTGCTTTGATCTTCAGATGGAAATGGCGCGTGCCCTGAGCAGCAGCAGGCCGTGCGCGACCATGCCGCAGAGGAACCCCAGCGCGGCGCTGGAGCCGACGAGCGACACGGCGGTACAGACGAGCATGACGAACGCCTCCGCCTTGGACGACATGTCCCTGGCCGCGATGGCCAGCTCCACGCCGGCGAACAGCAGCAGCACGCCCAGCAGCCCCACGGGGAACGCGGCGAGCACGCGCAGCACGGAGCCGCCGAGCGCCAGCCCCAGCGCCAGCTTCAGCCCGCCCAGCGCAGCCACGCACGCGCCGCTGCGCCCGCCGAACTTGTACTGCCCCGCCAGCCCGCCCGCGCCGTGGCAGCACGGCATGGCGCCGAACCAGCACCCCACCAGGTTCATGGCGCCCATGGTCACCGACACCGACGTCGCCGACGCCTCCTTCTTCTCCGGGAACAGGTCGCGCGTCAGCTTGCACACCGCCACCACCGAGTTGAGCACCGAGAGCGGGATCTGCGGGATCGCGCCCTTGATCAGCCCCTGCTTCCACGCCTCCCTCGGTATGCGCACCACGCGCATCCGCGACGGCCCCGCGCGCAGCTCCCTCACCGCCGCCGGGTGCCGGATGATGGCGAGGACCACGCCCAGCACGAACAGGATCACCGCCGACGGGATCGTCGCCGACCGCAAGCGCCTCCTCCAGCTACGCCAGAGGGAAGAAGAGCTATCCTCCTCCCGATCTCGTCCCACTTCTTCTTCTTGGACGGCGGTGCTGTGATCGTCGCCAGCGCCGTTGACGAGGACGACGAAGAAGATGGCGGCGATGGCGAGGGCGAGGCCGTCGAGCCCAGCCCAGGGGCGCCGACCGAGGGACTTGCTCTTCGCCAGGTCCTGCTCGTAGCGGATGTACTTGACGGCGGCCATGGCAAAGTTGAGCCCCTGGGCGAGCTGGATGCCGCGGACGACGGGGAGCGGCACGAACCAGTAGACGAGCTTCATAAGGCGGGTGACCCCGAGGACGAATACGAACGCCGAGGTGAGGATGCCGGCGGCCATCATCTCGGGGACCCCGAAGGAGGCGTCGGAGAGGGCGACGGCGGCGATGGTCTTCATGGGCTGGACGGGCATGGGGACGCCGTAGAGGAGGCCCGTGACGGCGTTGTAGACGCCGGTGAAGACGAGGGTGGTGCCGAGGTCGAGGCCGCGGGAGAGCGCCAGCGAGAGCACGATGGGGATGTACGTGCCCAGGTCGCCCATGGCGCCGTTCAGCTCCGACCACACCGACCGGAACGCCATGTTGTCGCGCGCCCGGACAAGCAGGGACATGGCGGCGCCCCTGATCGGTTTCCTGTCGCCGTCGCCGCCTTCTAGCGCCTCCGGATCCGCGGGGTTGACGGTGGTGGCCATGGCCGGTCGATCGTCCCTCCCCGGTTCCGGCCTGTCCTGTTTGCCCCGATTCCTTTCTTCGCCGAGCACTTTATGCTTGTACTACTGGACTAGTGCAGTGTGTTACTGGTGTTGCTTGCCTGCTTGTTTTGTACTACTGTTTTTGTAGTGCTTGGCTGCTTGCCATGGGAGATGGGTGGCCCATTGGCGCGCCAAGAGACGACCATGGAGATCTTCCTGCCAAGCTCATGTCGCTCTGTATTGTATTGCTCCTCCAGAGTTGACCGCAACATATAATATGTACTGTGCTACGTACAAGCGCCCTCCCCTGCATACGACTATGCGAGTTCTCTTGCCTGCAGCGGCAACCGCAGGCAAGATACTAATACAAGTAACTGTCATGATATATACCTTGAGTTCTTTGACATCTGCTCAGACTTTGGAAATGGGCGACTATTTTTTTACATCAAAGTACTCTTTATTGCAAGATGATTGTCATATTATCTTTTACTAAAGCATCAATAATCTCTCTGGGTGAAGGGAACCGCATACACCTTACTTTTACCTAGTTTGGCTAAATCATGAGCACACAATTAGCCTTTCTAGGAGCATGCTCAAAAATAATATACAAAAAATCATAAGCAAGGTGATATATATCATCAAAAACTGTTGCCAATAGATTGAAAGAGCGACCTCCATTCTTCATTGTCTCTATCGTCTCGATGTTGTCGGAGTTCACCTCTATGCGATTACACCGACTGTAGTTGCCAAACCGAGACCAAACCGTAAAGTCGGTGCCTCGGCCATAAGCACATCTTCGCACCAATCGATTTCCTTGTTTCCTCATGCGACGAATCCGCCATTCGAGTCTCCGGTGATAGCGTCATACGAGCCCTTGAGTAAGTCTGGGTCAAAAGCCCCATCCACGATTAGCTTCACATAGTTGCTCCTTGATCTTTCCCAGCCATGTTGCTTGATCATCGCCTTTGCATCACTCGCCATAGCATAGTTAGCAACCAAAGTTCTGATTGTCATTGCTATCAACTTAGGTTTATGGACCTTTTCATTATGCACTAACTTTCTCCTCTCCCATTATAAATACCAGGAACCAATAGTAATTGCTTCCGCTGAATCCCCAGACCGAGGACCACACATTTTTCAACTGGTTCTAGCAATAAATATTCTAGCACAGCTTCTCATCGCATGATCCACAGCTCATGCTTTATTAGTAGAAAAGCTCAAACCCAGTAGCCGCCATACTTCTTTAACTTTTGCACAAGTGAATAACAGGTGTTTGGTATCCTCCGCTCCTATACCGCATGTAGGACATTGAAAATGGGCGACTATTTGATCTCACCCTAGCGACCTTGATCTCAACCCTGCTCTCTCTCAAAAAAAATTTGAGGGGTAAAGCAGTATCCCGGCCCTACTGCTTGTATTAATTTTTTTTCATGAAAAGTAAGAGTCTGATAAATCATTTTTTTTAGAAAAGGAGGATGACCCCCGGCCTCTGCATCTGGGAGATGCATACGGCCACTTTATTGATTATTCTCGAGGATCTTACAATGTATTACAACAATGTGCCTGAATCCACCATCTTGGCAACACATGCCGCTACTCCTATCCAAAATGATGAAGGGGTGCTAGCTGGGCCACTATCCAAACCACTCACCTAAGCCTAACATCAAAAGCCGGAAGCCGAAACATATTCGGAAGCCCCAGTCGAGCCACATACCGGGTCTGGGACACAATCCGGTCAGACACACTCGTGTGTCGTCGCCGCCATCTTTCACAAGTCCGTCTTCAAGTCATATTGAGGCTTCTACCTTGTCTGGCCACTCAGTCATCGACGTCACCATGACGCCAGACGGCAACCTCCTCCTGCGCGAGTCCATCTCCGCGCATCAGACACCGAGTCTCAACAACACCACGCCGCTGAGATCCGCCATCTTCAATGGGAAAGATGAAGCACCGCTCCACCAGAGTCGCCGTCCTCTAGTCCCTCGAGCCCGTGTGCACCTCCAAGAATGACGCCCCCATGGGGGAAAACGACACCAGAGAGCCGCCGTCATCCGATCTACTGATCTAGGGTTTCCCCCGGAGATAGCAGAGAGTGGCCTTGAACATCTCCACAACGATGCCTTCAGGAAGGGAACGGCGCAGACAGCGTTGCCATCGCCGGCCTTGGCAATAGCCAATAGCAGGTTTTCACCCAGATCTGATCGAAGACCTCCATCTCTCGTGCACGGGTCGCCGCCGTCCTTGCCGGGATCTGGATGATCCCGCATGGCAGATCTCAGCACGGGGAAGCCCCCCCACTGAGACCCGCCGGCCGAGCAGGGGAGGCCGAGGCCGCGCCCACAGGTCAGATCCGCGATGGATCCAAGCCCGCGCCGCCGCCCCGGAGTCAGCCCCGCGCACAGCCGCCACCGCCTGCCGAGGCTCGCCGCCGCGTGCCCCGTGCCCCGCCACCGCTCGCCGAGGCCTGCCGTCGCAGGACACCGCCGCCTGCCGCCTAGATCCGCCGCCCGCGGAAGAAGGGGAGGCGGGAGAGGGAGTCCCCCCGCCGCCGCAGTCTGCCACGCGGGTTTCACCCGGCGGCGTCACCCGGCGGCGGCGCGAGGAGGGGAGAAGGAGAGGGCGGCGGCGGTGCCTAGGGTTGGAGGCCCCCGAGTCGCCCAAGGCGGGGGCGACGGGAGGGGATAGCGTCAGTCCTCCCCACTGCTAAGTTTGGTTTTTCTCAGCCAGAGTCTGATAAATCTTACTGCCAAGTCTATATTGCATACGCATTACAGACAGGAACAGGGGAGAAAGAAATGCCAACATTAGCGTCATCTTGTGAAACAGCCCGGCCAGCAGCTAGATACTACTGGGTACAAGGAACAAGGAACAAGTCGTGATCAAGAAGAGCTTGAGCTTGAGCCTAAAGCATCTTGTGTTATCTTACATATACTACTTAGTACAGAATACTAAGTAGAATATCCCCGCAAAAAAATACTTAGGATAGAATACAAAAGGACAAGGATGACATATATATGTACCCAGTATATGTATGTGTATACTAAATAGTATACGTAGTACTAAGATTTCAGATAGATAGATTAACGACAGCTACCGAATGCTTGCCTCTGTGGGTACGAAACTATCTGCTTCACTTAATTAATCTTTGGATCTGTCCAGCACCTTTCCTGCAACATAGGCATAGTGTCGGTCGTATATGACTTTACTGTTGCCAATATGTGATTTTATCTTTTCTTTTATCAGATTGTCGGTTGTGTACATCTTAACTATGCAGAGTTTAGGTGTGGCTCATCATATTTTGTATCCGATTGATGCTACATTTTGAGTTCATAAAAGCTCCCTTTATTGAAAAATTAATTAACTAAGTGCATATATTCTACTTCTCATGCTAGAAGCTAAAAAAACTTGCAAGGTTCTCCAATCCTAAAAAAACTAGCAAGGTTCTTCATCTTCACTGATCGAGAATTCGAGATACGGCATACTTACATGGAGGTTATACATGTGCCGCTCGATGCATAGGCCTTTGATATATACAGTCTCTACAGGAAAATGGTGATAGTAGGATGGAGACGAGCAAAAACATTTCTTAATTTAATTACCAATTGTGGATCGAGCGAGTATTCGACTTCATGGTGACAAGACGTCAGGGGCAGAGCCATGATTGGAGCATGAGGAGGACGAAAAAGCTGGTGATCAAACAAGGGGATGAAACAACATGATATATTAGGTTTTAATATATCTGTACGGTTATGTTTTCCTTTGATTTGGGGCCATTTGAAGTTCCTTTTGGAATTTATTTGAGGTTCCTTTGTTAAGAAATCAGTGCTTTTGTTAGTTTTGACATCTTGACACTTTCTTCTACTACAAAAGGTGTTTAAAAAATAGCATTGATATGTTGGCAATACGAAAGAAATCAACATTCAACTGGCTTAAAATTTTGAATCATCGGTTCGCATATCAGCTAATTTAGAAATGAAAATAGAATATACTAAAAATGTTGGGGCTTAATAATTGAATTGACCAAACAGTATCATTATTGGTTGGTTCCTCTGATTTATATCACCAAGAAAGAGTACCATGTCTTATACTAGCAGTACTTTGGTTTCTTCTACCTGGTTGCCTGGCTGGTCTTTAATTTACAACACCGACAACATGTACGTTTCAAACCAAAATTACAAGTGTTTAATTTGCAAACTATGAAAAACTACGACGGTACTAGAGAGTTATCCCCACGCATTCCGGCGAGCCCCAGTGCCCCCTTGCCCCATGTTGCCTTGTAAACTCGACCCGCTTCTCGCACAGCGTACAATACCTGGCTTGACAGGCCCAGCAGAAAACATATTCATCATCATCCTGGACACATACATAAGGTCGTTAGATAGATTCATAGGAGAAGCAGGCTAGTGCTCAGTAAATTGGTCATCATCCCTTGCAGATTCAAGCCATGCTGCAGATTGAATAAGACAGGTCTCCTTACCTTGAAAATTTTCTGACGGCATTTCGGGCATTCGATGGTACTGCCTAACGGATGCATTCGAGCCACGCGTTCTGCGGTTTCTAGCTCTTTCAGTCGCTTCTCCAAATCATTTGTGTTATAGTCCTTTTTTTGCGGCGCAAAGAGCCCACATTTACTGCAAAGCATACATGCATGCATTAAGAATAAGATAGGCCCGAGATCTTGGATGCCTACAACCCCCCTCTTTTCAAAGACAAAAGGCCTCTTGATTGCTTAGGATAGGATCGATAGCCTACCTGAAATGGTTATAATTGCTAGCAGTCATGGCCTCGCCACAACGGAAGCAGAATGACTTGCCACAGTTCACACAATACATCATGTTACACCCTTCACTTCTGCTAATGGCCATTCGGCAGTTTGGACATGCTCTAGCATCGTTGTATAAACTTCTGATCATCAGCAT